CCCGCTACCTCTCCTTAGTTAGGTACGGCGCCGTTCGCACTCGTTCAGTAGGGGGCGCCTGTGAAGCGCTCCCGTATTTTTGCTGTGACTTTACCTTCAAAGGTAACTGGCACTTCTTCAGCCCAATGAGCTGATTCCTAGACCGTCTGCGGTCCACCAACTCCATGTTCATGGCAAATTATTTTAATCTTATAAACCTTGATGTTTTGAAAATTCGCATTAACGTTTTAAATTTTCAGATCGCAGATTGTGAAATTTCAAAACACGTTTGCAATTTTTTTTACAAGTGATTTAGTTTGTAATTTTACAAACATTGAATTGCGTAAAAAGTTGCCAACAAAATTTGTAAAATTACAATCGATTTTTTTAACAGTGAGGAAAAAAAATTACCCGCAACAGGAAGACTCCCTCTTTATTTCCGCAAATTGTGTAATCGGCTCATCTACATTGCATCTGGTTCGCACAAGCCTGCATCAACCACGGCTCGCCGGCTCAGCTGAGCTCGGCTCGGCTCGGCTGGCTCGGCTCAGAGCGCGCTCGGCTCGGCAGAGCGCCATGCCCCCCGCCCCCCGCTATCGCTGTTATCTGTAGATTCCAGCTCGTGGCACGCGTCGCACAAGCTAACGGGATGATGGGCTGACCATCACAAACTTTCCCTCTCACTTCCCACTCCCCAACACTTCCCCCCCCTTTCTCTCTCTCTCTCTCTCTCTCTCTCTCTCTCTCTCTCTCACACACACACACACACACACTGCCCCGCCCTTCATTATCACTTCAACTTTGCGGATGCTTTTAACTTTCTTCAATCCTCTTTTTCTCCCCTCACTATTACTCTCGACACTACCCCTCTCTTCCCCCCCTCCCCTCCCTCTCTCATCCCTCTCCCGACCTTTACCATTACTGACACAAACAGCCTTCCACCCCCTGCACACAGTCACATTTAAGTTTCGAAAACGAATATTGCTCTGCCCCTTGTGCTCCTTGGAAAATTACTTTCGTACGCCTCCGGAAACAAACAAAAACGCCCGGGCGGCATCAGGCGGGAGCGCCGCGCGCCCTTTCGTCTCCTTCCGAAACCCGAAATGACTCGGCTCCACAAAAACTCTGGCCGCGCCAAATAATAGTGACGATGATGATGAGTTTGAACTCTTCGACGGTGATCGTCCGTAAGCTAACCCCGGTCGCCGGGTGACGGCTCACTCCGAGGAGGGCGGCAGGGTGGGCGGGCGCGGCGCGTCCTCCGGCACCTGGAAGTAGTGCTTGCGCAGCGGGATGCTGGACTGCTGCGCGTCGATGGGGATGCGCGTGTCGTACAGCGAGGGCGCCTGGAAGATGATGCCCACCGTGCCGCCGACGCAGGCCAGCGTGAAGATGATGAGGAACAGGCGGTCCAGCACCATCGAGATGTACTTCCAGTCCTCCACCACCTGCGACAAAAAGGAGGGCCATCTCAGAGTCTCTCTTCGCAAAAAGAAAACAATTTTTAACAATTTTACACTTTTTTTACAGCATGCGACCCGCCGCGAACCGTCCTAGTCACCTCCTATTTCTCTCCACAAAAAATATTATGTTACAGGAAAAAGGGTTTTGGGCCTCGGGGGCGGCCTTCCGTTCCCGTTCTTTGTCCTAGTTACTGAGGCGAGCGCGATTTCTCACCATCTCGTTACTCTTTGATGACGCAAGATAGAAAGAGAGAAAGAGAGGAGAGAGGGTGGGCGGGTGTCCAGCCCGCCATCGCTGCCCTGCCGGTGTAGGCTTACACCCCCAGCCGCTGTTTTTGCGCGAGGTCGAAAGAAGAGCGCCGGAATTATATGAAAAATGTCATCTCCCCGCCCCCGCAGCCTTTCCAGGAAACACGCCACGGTTCTATATATCCTTGGCACTTCTCATGAGTTCGCCCGCCGGCAGCAGCGCAATCCCGCTCGCCCGACCTCCCCCGGAGTGCGCGGCGGCATGGTAGCTGGGTTACTCCGGATTATTCCTTATTCGATTCAACTTTTTCGCAAACCCGAACCAATATATGAGGCCGGCACCGCGCCGCCCGCCGCCCTCCTGCTCCTCCGAGCAAACCCCGGTCACATGCACGCGGAGCGCCGGCGGCGGCGGTGTGGGTACCCCTTGCGAGGAGGGCAGGGAGGCGGCAGACAGGCGCGGATTAATTCGGAAAGCAAACGTAGTGCAGGGAACGCCCAATCAGCCGGGCGGGGCGTGGCGGGGCGTGGCGGGGCGTGGCGGGGCGTGGCGGACGGGTGACAAGGAGTGATATCGGAGCCGTCAGGCGATCTAATAAAGCAGTCCTGACAGCAGGGAGCCTCGTGGCGGGGCGGGGCGGGGCGCGGCGCGGCGGGGAGTGCGCGGGACGCCCCAGGAGGACAAGAAATATTGCAAAACGATTGCCAGCCAGAGCCAGCGAGCAGCCTCAGCAGCGCCGGCAGCGGCGACGCGCTGCTGCTGCTGCTGCCGGGGCGGAGCGGGCGCACTGGAGCGGATTGACCAGCTGTCGTAAGAACGTCAGGTGAGTGAAATGATAACGAAGCCGGACGAAAAAAGAAAATGAAATATCGGATGGCGTCTGTCACTTTGCCGTTCGCGCGCGCGCGAGGCGGGCGAGGCGGGCGAGGCGGGCGAGGCGGGCGAGGCGGGCGAGGCGGGCGAGGCGAGGGTCGAGCAGATGTCGTGCCCAGCCGCGCAAGGTCAGGTGCCCCCATCAGCCGACAGGGATGTTATATAGAACTGATAAACCAGGCGATCTGGCCGGTGCACAGCACAACGCATATTGCACAGCGCTCGCCGTCGCATATTTTTGTCAGACGTCGCTCACACCGCTTCTGGCCGCGGGCCGTCAGCCTGCCGAGCGGCGAGTAGGCCGCCCGCCGACCTCCGGCGCACGACGGGCCCGGAGCCGGGGAGGTGCGGCAGGCGCTACCCGCGGGGCGTCACGATGTGGCCACCAGGAGCATGTCCACCCGTGAAGCAGACCACACGGGAGCGGACCTCGCTCGAGGACGAATGCGGCGGCGGGGAGTCAGTGGGAGGGCAGTGCGGTGCAGGGCGGGCGCGTGGGGGTACAAGGGGGGCGGGGGTAACCGCTACCCCCCTGCGGCTCGTAGGATAACGCGGCGTGTCAATGCTTTGGCCGCACAAAGCCCCACGCCCAACACACTCGGCGCCAAAGCCAATCAAATCCATTGTAATCTGCCCGGTAGTGCCTCTCTCTCCCCCCCACCCCCTCCTCCTCACTCTGCTTGCTCCCGTTTTCCTCTTCTCTCACTTCGCACACCATGGCCACGTCACGGCACGCCGCAGCAGCAGACCCCAAGCTGTCCCGCACAGAGCGCAGCGCCCTCGCTCGCGCCCACACTCACACACACACACAAACACACACTCACAAGAGCGCTCTTATTCGCCACCCACAATCTCGCTCTCTCGCTCTCGCTCTTTCTCTCTTCTATCTCTTCTTTCTCTGTTCCTCTCCTTCGCGGGCGCCCTGCCGCGCTGCTCTCTGTGTCCATGTGGAAGGGCCGGCGCGCCCCACGCCACTCCACCCAGCGCCAGGCCACACCAGCAGCACGAGGGCCAGGCCCGCAGAGCGGGGGGCGGCCACTTTGCCAATATTGGCACACATATCCAGGTTGTATTATGCAAATCAGGCGAATCGGCCGCGCGCCGTGTGTGTGACGGTCCGGACCGACCTGTGCCCCCACCCCCACCCCCTACTCTTTCGAACACTCTGCGCCCGCCGAGGGGGAAGGGGAGGGCATGACGTGAAAAGTGTTGTTTGAACGCCGTGGCCCGGCCCGCCCGGCGCACACGCTGCCACCCGCGCAACACTCGGCGATGGTTCAGCCCCCCAGCCCCCCAGTCCCCGGGCCCCAGCCGGCCCCGAGCCCAGAGCCCTCAGTCGGAATACACCATGATTGGGGGGCAGGCCGAGGGGCGGGCGGGGGCGGTCCACCCGTGGGAGCAGCCAGCAGAGGAGGTGCCAAGGGGCGGGGGCGCGCCTTTCCGACCTCAGCAGCAGCAGCAGCAGCAGCAGCCTGTCCTGGCCCCACCCCGCCGACCCCACGGGGTCCTCCCGCAGGGCCGAGGCGCGGCGAGGTGCTGGGAAGTGAGCGCCTCCTCTCCCTCCTCCTCCACCTCCGAATCAGGTTTCAGCCAATTCCGACATCCTGCCCTCGCCACGCCCCGCCACGCCTTGCCTGCCGCCGGGATAGGAGGTGCACAGCGCGCCCTTGCTCCCGCCGGGGCCCCAGTCGGGGCATCGGCCGCGGGGGGGGGGTTCCAGTTTAACCCCCGCGCGCCAAACCCGCCGCGCCAGCTCTTAGAGGCCGGCTAAAATAACAGAGTGGAGGCCGGCATTGTGGTGTGGGCGGCGCGGCCAGGGCGCCAGTGGGAGGCAGTGGCAGTAGGCGAGGGGAGATGTGGATGGGGAGCGGAGAACCCGCGGCGTTTGAACCTCTGCAGCCCGCGCCCCGCGCGCCCGCTCACTCGAACTGATCCCGTCAAACCCCCATCCCGATCCAGCCCGGAGCCGGCCTGGCCGCAGCAGAGCGCAGCAGAGCCGGTGGCCCGCATTGGACTCGCCTCTGTTTGAAGTGTCGGCGGTCGGCCTCTGGCCGTGGGGGGCACGCTGAGGGCCAGAGTGAGGGCCACGGTGGTGGCCGGAGTGAGGGGCAGGGTGGGAGCCACATAGGGAGCTACAGCACGTTATAATGAACGTCTTGTTTTGAAGAAAAATGGAAAACTCTAAGAATCTTCTATAATTTGTGGAAAACCCCTTCAGCTTATGAGAATGTTCTATCGAGAAAAAAATTATTCAGAACGCTTCCCCAAAATCTGAGGATTTTTCCAATGCAGTGGGAACCCAAGAGGTCACCATATAGGGACCTAGGTTGGGAGCCACCCGGGGGGAGAGCTACCCGACGACGGCGGCCGTTTGGGAGACAGACTGGGGCGTAGCGTAGCGACCCGGGCTTGGCTTGCCGGGCCGAGAGGGGAGAAAAAAGGGAAGAAGATAATGGGGGAGCATTTGAGGCCCGGCCCGGCGGGCCCTGGAGGGCTGTGGAGTGGGGGCCGCAAGCGATGCGCCCGCCCAAATAGGTGGCCTTTCCGAGGCGACAAACTCTGGGCCGGCAGAGCTGAAGTGTCTCCTCTTCTCTCCTCTCCCAGGCTCCCCAGCTGCCCTCCGGCCCTCCGGCCGGCCCCGCGGCGGGGGCACCTCCCTATCAGTTACCGGAGCGCGGGGAAGTAGTTTCCGCTCGGACAGCAACAAGCAGGCCACGGCAGTCGCCCCGCATGGGTGGGAGGCCCCACTCTGCCCGACAGCCTTCGGGCGAATCAACTTTTCGGCGACGCAAAGAAAAGGTAAAGGAGGTAGGGGAAAGGTAAAAGGGGTGAAAATGAGAGGATTGATAGATCAACAATGTTGTTTTCCTTTCTAAAAAATTACACCTCAGAGTATTTACAATAATTATTTTCTCCGATCTTCTGTTTTGTCAGGGATGATCGATCTTATGGCATCAATAACAGCAGCCCTTCTCCTATTTCTGCATGGTCGGATGAAATATTATCGGGGAAACACACAGCCGGCCGGCCTACAGGAGGCCTACAGAAGGAGCCCTTCAGGCAGCCTACAGGCGGGCTAGGCGGGCTACAGGGCAGGTGGTCTGCAGGCTGGGTGGACAACCCTGCGAATGCAACCGACCAGCCCTCAGGCATACAGCCAGCCGAGCAGCCCTCCGGCATGCTGTCTCCACAGAACCAAAGCGCCAGCGTGCTGCTGGTCCAGCACCTGGCTCCAGCCAGCGAGCCGGGCTGGGCGTCACCGAGAAAAGGGTGTGTTATAAAAAAAATACGGTAGGCAGGGATCGGCGGGGGTAGTGGTCGGGGGTGAGGTTGGGGAGGGGAATGGATACTGGTGCATGTCCCAAAGCGCCGGGGGCCACGACGGGGCGGGGTAGAGCAAGGCGCGCGCGCGAGGAAAAAGCGATAAATTAAATTCCCCTGTCCAAAAAGCAGTTACGCCCTCAAGGCCCTCTCCCCTGCCCGCCCCCTTGCTTAACTCTCCATTTTCCTGGCCGCTTGTGCCCCTCTCTCCCCCCGTACTGTTCTCGTTTTTGCTTCCTGTCTTGACGAGCAGGTAAAGAGAGCACTTTTAAAGCCCTCCCCATCCCATCCTCACCTCGATTTCAACAAAACACTGGCGCGTTGGGTGGGGTGGGGTGAACGTTCTGCAGGCCAGGACAAGGATCAAGAACGGGAAAGCTCACCTCGTTGTCCTTGTCGGCGTCCTTGATGTGCTGCGCGATGAAGCTGACGCCCTGCAGCGCTGACAGCAGGTCCGGCGACATGGTGCGGGGGAGGATGTTGTCCGAGTCTGTGACTGCAACATGGGCAAGAGTGTCGTGAGGCAGGTGGAAACTTAGGGGGGCAGCCGTAACAAGGTTGCCGCAGCTAGACGGAAAATATTTTGAGTTTCTTTGGAAAAATAGCAAAAACAACTGAGAATGTTTTCCTTGAGCAGTATATCCGGTTTCTCCTTGTTTTTATGCAAAAAGCAGATATTACTTTGACGACGCATCAACATGGAGTGCCATGCCGATGTTGCGGCTGCAAGCCCCTCTCATTCACAAAAGTTTTTGCCCCTAAAGGCTCCGCCAGGCTCCGCGACGCGCTCTGGCCTTGATAGGCCCTCTGGAGCTCAGTACTTCTCACGTTATTCTAAACGCACTCGCCGCGAACCTAGTCCCTCGAGTGTCGCCTTTCGTTAGCCCACCCCAGCATCGCCGTCTCTTATCTCCCTCCCTCCTTATAACAATTCTATTCTCGCTCATCCCCCCCTCTTTATTTCCATCTTTGTCTTGGCCGTCCGTTCCTCCTTGCTTCTGCGTCCCTCCTCCCCACCTCCCCCCTTCCCGTATCCCGCTCCCCCAGAGAGAGATTTAAAGGAGTGTCGACGGTCGGGGAAATGGGACTTGCGGGAAGTGGAATTGGTCGCCGACGTGCTGCGCTGTGGCCTGTGGCGCCCAGGCGCGGCCGGCCCGGGCGCAGCGTGACAACACGCACTGCGTTACACACTTACAAGAGCCTGACAACACGCAGTGCGTTACACACTGACAAGAGCGTGACAACACGCAGTGCGTTACACACTTACAAGAGCGTGACAACACGCAGTGTGTTACACACTTTCAAGGGCGCGATTGCCAATCAGTGGGTGGAAAAGCCGAGAGGTGGGTGTCCAATTTGAGTGTAATGGGGCGTTCAGAATAAAGGAAATAAGTGGAATTCTTTCGGATACCGTCGGATACCAATTGCAATCTACCGGTAATCCTTGTCAGGAAAAACGTAAAAATCTATGGTCATCCGTAATCATGAAACAGTCACATCTCAAGATAATCTCTTGGATTCCCTCACAATAATATGTTCCAAATCTAGCCCACGGAACCCCTCGGGAAACTTTTTAGGCGTCGACCGGAATTACAACCCAAGCACAAAGTACTACTTTTCGACAAGCGTACCAATGTTATGTTGTTTCTCATGTTTAGCCATTCTAGGATGTGGGGTATGTGATAGGAGCGGAGAGCGGGTGAAAGGGTCAGTGTTAAACAAATCGGCGGACCGGGAGAAAGGTGGGTCGTAGGACGAGGTTATTGTGAAAGCAGACCAAAGAGGAGGGCGAGCAACGCGAGCGACGGTGCGAGAGCTACCGGGAGAGGAAAGGGGACAGAGAAAAGTGGGCGCAGTAACGAATGCGGAGGGGGACAAGAGGGGGGGGGAGTGAGGGGAGGGGAGAGCGCGGGGAGCAGGAAAGAGATCGGGAGAGAAATGGGGGGAAACTGGGGGTCGGGGGGATAGGAGGGAGTAATGGAGACTAGGGGGTCTCGTCACGTCTCGGTCCCCGTCCCGCGGGACGTCACTGCACGCCGGGGAAAATGTATTTGAATAAAACAAAGTGCAGTGTAGGCCAATGAGAGCAGGAGGGCGGGGGTGGAGCGCAGGGCGGGGTGGCCCGCCGGGGCAGGCGCGGCAGGCAGGCGGAAGGAAGGAGGCGAGGTCTACCGCATGACGAGAAAAATGACATTGTCGACAAGGCGGACGGGCCGCTCTGCGCCGCGCGCGCCAGGACCCGCCAGGACCCGCCAAAATGGGGAATGCAAAGTAGGGGCCATTCAAAAGGAACGGAGCAGCGAGATTGGAACCAGATAAGGGGGTCGGAACGGCGGAGGTGTTGAACGGGAGGGGTCGAGGTGGCTGGGGGAGGGGGGAAGAGGGATATGAGAGAGAGGGATAGAGAGGGAGAGGGGGGCAAGAAGGATGCCGTGACACCACTACACAGTTGAAATAAATTATTAATCCACCGTAGCGAGACATTTGGAGGACGCGAGGTGGAGGGGGTGGCGAGAGAGTGCTCCTCAAGCACACCCTCGTGGAGCAGCGCGCGCCCGAATTTCCTCTCTCACGCTACCCCTCTCCTCCCCTTCCCTCCTCGCCCCCCCCCCTCTCCCGCTTCCTTCTCCATTTCCGGTATGAGGAACAGGGCCTTGCACAAAGGCAATGGGGCTTAAACACTTGCGCACACGCGCGCGCTCCGGGCCGCCGCAGGCGGGGCAAGAAACAGGGGAGGGGCGCTGGGCCAGGGGGGGCTGGAGGGTAGGCGCGAGGCACCAACAGTTAGCAGGGCCGCAATGTGCACATCAACTGGCGTACGGTCAATCTGCATCCCCGTCTTTCGTTTAGTGATTACATGTGAAAATAACCTTGCGAAAAAATACAGCTGTGAATTTTGATCATCATCAGTTCCCTCGCGTCTCGGTGCTACGATGATGTCGGGCGCGGGACCGAGCGCCGCGGGTGTCCGGAGGGGGGCAAAGATATGTGAACGGCCCTGGAACCCGAGGCGAGCCGGGGGACGGAGGGGGAGGGGAGGAGGGAGCACCTAAGTCACGCTGCACGCTGCATGGGGGCATCCGCCTGAGATCACAGGGACATCCTATGCGCTGCGCCACGCGAGCGCCACACGAGCGCTGCGCAGGAAGATGGAAACAAGGTCAGTGCGGGAGGTACACTTCTGCTCATTTGAAAGACGGAATAAAGAGGAAAAACTGCCCCTACAACGACGACGAATGAAATGCCCGTTATTACGATGCTTTCTGAACAGGTGCAGGTGCACTCGATTGATTGTGAGAATCTTTTAGTAGTCGACTTGTGACGTGCACTTTTGTGCACATTCTGATACTTGGGGCTGCTCTTCACAATGATGACTTTGAGGAGGTATGGCTTTGGGGCCAATTTTAGATCACTTTGGGACCTGTTTTCTAAACTACCTTCAGTCTCTCTTTCCCCCGACCCTGCCTGCTGCGGGGGCCAGGCCAGGAGAGGGTTGGGCTGGGCTAGCGCCCTTCCACATTAGTGACGCCAGGCGTGCGGGAGATACCAGGACTTTCCAGGCCCCCACCACTTTAAGCTACCCTTCCACCAGATCAAAAGCGTAAACGGTCCAGCGAATACGGTCCGGAAAGGGCTACTTGCAGTCAGACTTGATGTCTTTCACGGTACTACTTCACTACTTCTAGTACCTTTTTACTAGTGCCGTCGTCACAAAGGCACTGAAAAGGGGACAGCGTATCATGGAAAAACGTGTATGCAGCGTATTCATTTAAAAAGATATCTCCGCGAAAATCTCAAAATCAACCCAATTTTGTGTATGCCGTTCTCGTAATTAACAACATTATTCTGACTTACATGGACGCAAAAAAACAAAAACAAAAAAAAAAGAAACATGCACATGAGCAGAAACAGCAACTCCTCCGCCAAGTCTGACGAGAACACTACAAAAAGATGACAGTAAAGAGAAAATGTCAACGGCTAGGCAACAGCGAGGTACTGTCCATCGAATAGACGCAACAATTTACACAGATAAAGAGAGAGAGACAGGCGTACCGTACAGTTAAAAAAAAATGGTGAGCTAAAATACAATATGAAAATTATGCAAAATATGAAAGGTGCAATATCCATTCTGTACAAGTACAATGAAGATGTATAAAAATAATACAGATGCTGAGGTGGTGAAAGACGTAAAAACAAAAACAAAATAGGAGCAAAGAACTTCACGGTGTTGTCAGGTTTCGTATGCGAGTGACAACGGCGTGAAGGATGCGTGCCATACGGTGCCAGATAGAAATGTCGACCGACGGAGGCGAGGCAGACGCCAGAGGGCAGTAAGTGCGAGGAAGAGGACGTTAGAAGACGAATAAGGTGCAAAAGAGATGCCATAAGTACACAAATTATGCCACTGTCGCCGGCTCTGCCAGGCAGAGGCCAGCCCACTTCAGTAGTTACGCCAGCTACACTAACAGTAATGTGTCTAACGCACCCATTCGACCAATAAATTGGCAAATTTGAAGCAGAATGCCCTCAGAAAGTGAGGGGCGTCACAATAATCAGACGCTCGATATGTGCAAGCTACACGCAGCAAGAAGATTATCTACCGTCTATAAAGTGCCCACGGACACATAAGATCGAAGGATGAATCGCACATGGAAGCACTGGCCTCTGGTCAGATACTTATGACAAGCTCTCAAGCACATTTTATTTTCTGACCAGAAAGGGAAAAAATCAAGCTAACATACGACTTAAATTTAGATAACAACAGAACCAAAAGGGTAAGAGGCCGTTAAGGCTAAATAATGATAAGTTTCCAGGAAATAAAAGAAAATCCTCGATACGGTTGGCACCTCGGTGGGTGCCGGGTACCTGTGAAAGGGCTGAGGTCGGGGTGGTGGTCCCACGGCTCTCCTCCGCCGCCGCACCTATCCAGCACGGGGCTGTAGCCTGCAAAGCAACACTCACCACGTCACAACCTCCGGAGACAGCCCTGAAAAACCTGCGGTTATGGTAACTTATTTTAACACGTAAGAGTTGTCACCGAGAGGGATATCGGATGCCTAAAAACTTTACTGACAGCAACGGAAATAATGGCGGAATAACAGCAAAAACATCCCGCGTAATGGGATACTGTTATAGCATAATACTGTTTAATATGATGGAATTATGACACAAAACTAGGGTGACCATCGCACTAACATAACACGTACCATGTGTCTTTGAATGCAATGCAGAGCTGTGGGTTTGCCTACTTCTTTCGCCCATAAAGCGCTATGGCCTATGTAGCTCTATCGAGTAAGCAATCCCGTAACACTATAGCGCATTTTAAGACAAATACGGTACACTTTCCTCAGGAGGGATCTCCCTCTCGGTGGTCGTCGTTGGACAACAAATCGTGAGCGGTAAAAAAAAACACACTTTATATCACAACACCACAATAATTTATTGTTTGAGAAAGTTTCTTGAGGTTTTTAAATACAGCGTCATCACGAACTCACTATTTGTTTTCTAAAAACTATCTGATTTGGATTGGGAACGATTGCCATCAATGGGCTCATTGGCACGGTATACAAAGGAAAGAAATTAGTGCAGTGCTTGACAGTTCAAAACAAACAAGCGCAAAGGAGGGGGGGGGGTCGGGCTCCTAGTTGTGCATAACCTCTTTATGGGCCATCATTCAAACGCGCCACTATCGCGCACAAAGAGTTTACACAACGTCGGCCGAGAAATACAGCGACGGCAGAGAAGGTGCGATTAAAGCGATTAAAGTTACGAGCCATAAAACCAAAATCATTTTCCTTTTCGTGATGAAAATCACGGGCAGGATCGTAAAAACCTGGAGCGGGGTCTGCTCGCGCGAGAGAACATCGCAATGAGCGTCGGTTATGACCCCGGCGATATGCTCAAGGTGCGGGAGAGGGGCCGGACTTGTGTCAACAAGGGCTTGTTACTACCAGGCCATTGCCGACGCCACAATCGTCGAGCGAGAAAAGCACTGAGAGTAGTAGGTACTGTTGAAAATAACGCGCGAAACGCGAGATCTTCCAGAAAGTGCGTTCGTGTTTTTTTCTCTGATTTCTTATTTGACAATTTGCGGGAGCTCGGCGTCAGCGCCTGCGAAATGCAGGGTGGGCCGTCCCGCAGTACACGCATGCACTACAAACGAGATGTTGCCTACCCAGCGGGCGCTATGAAGGCTTGAATACGCTGTAAAGCCCAAATGTAACTTAACTAGACTTCAATAAAACATTTTAAAAACTGGGAAAAAACTGAACGCTGAACGTCTTGACAGGTTCGTAACGGCAAAGGACAAACGTACTTACTGGGTGGCCTAACATAAATAATATGACTACCTCAAATGAAATGTACTAAATGTTTGCTCTGTTTTTAGACAGCTTGGCTGTTAGTCAAAATTTCGTATTTGTGACGGTTTTTTAGTACTTGATCATGTTTTTTCCACGTCCTCGGTAGATCCGGGGAAGGGGATTGGCCTAAATTCAGCCCTTACTTCCTTCCAGGCTTCCGACTTAAGGCGAAAGAGGCGAGCTACTTGTGCTTTAACGTCGTCTCTCCGATCTGACGTTGAAAGCGAACCCGTGCTGGAGGAGTTGGGGCGCGCGTCCTCCAGCTCGAGGAGCTTCACTCCGCCCGGCGGGGCGGGCCGCCCAGCCACCCCGAGCCGCACATCCGCACGGGGGGCGGGCGGGGGCTACCCCACCATCAGGCTGCTTGTGTAAAAAAAAATAGTTGTTTGCAAAAGAAAAAAAAATGCCTTTTAACAGTTGTGGAATGTGTAATAAAATTTTACAGAAATGCGACGTGAAATGGGACGGTCTTGAGCTCCGGGCCGGGCGCGCGTACCTGTCGAGGAGACAGCCTGAGAGGTCGGCAGCGCGAGTGCGCCGTGTGTACTCACCCGCGGAGTGCGGCTGCTGCTGCAGTAAGCCAGTCCCGGACTCGAAGCCCGAGGATTTGAAGTCCGGCGAGAACGGGTCGCTCACGCTGTCCCTGCGAAAGAGAAAGAGCCAAAAAAAAAAAAGACAACGGATTTAGTGCGGAAAGTTTTTGGCAGAGCGCGAATCTCACTCCCTGCCCCCGACACCCAACCCTTATACCCAAACCACCACCTCGCGCTGCTCGCTCGCGAAACTCCGAGTGCGAAAATTGTCCGCGCAGCTGCAGTTTGGGAGGCGCCGGGCGCCGGGCGGTTGCCATCTTCTTGAGTACAACCGAGGAGGGACTCGGAGCGGTCACACGTTGTGGAGCAGGCGGCGGCGGGAGCGGTGGGGGCGGCGGGGGTGACGGGGGCGGCTGAGGCGGCGGGGGCGGCGCGAAGGCCACGAAATTTAATCGAGCCGCCTGCCGGCGAAATCTAATCAAAGGGGTCCATTTGCGCTGAGCGGCGTGGCGTAGCGTGGCGTGGCAGGGCGTGGCGGGGGCAGCGCGCGCACGGTTCATTGGACAGCGAGAGGGCGCCACTACCGGCAGTTGATTGTGCGCCCGCTAATGTAGTGAGAGGCCTGAGGGGGGGGGGGACGGTCAGGGTGACGGACGTCGCGTGGCGCTGCGGGGCGTATTGTGAGCCCCGCCCGGAGCCCCCCTCCAGGGCCGCGCCGGGCTCGGCCGGGCCAGGGGCCGGGACCCAATGCACACGGAAATTTATAGTGTCTGCCAGCCATCCGTCCGCGCGAGCCAGCGCCAGCGGGGGCGGCGCGGGGGCGAGCCTGTTAGCCCTGCTGCCTCCCGCGCCCCCCGCCGCCCCTGGTGACATAGCCGCCCCCCGGCTGCTGACGGCCCGCCCCCACGGCCCGCCCCTCGGCCCGGCCGCACCGCGCCTCTCACAAAGGGCCCGACCAGCCAGCCCCCTGCCCGGGGCACATGTCAGCCCAGCCGGGCATTCCGACGGGGGCGGAGACCCACCACCGCAGCAGCTCGCCCCGCCCCGCCCTGCCACCACGCCATTTTACTACCCCCCGCACTAAAACGAGAGGAGACGAACATGCATAAAAAATGGCCCAGTGCGTCATCAGGTACGTGTTAGCCGAGTGAAATGGGACAAAAGACTTAAGATGTATCTACTAGAACAAAACGAAAACGAGCAAACAAACGATGTGGAACCTGTGCGAGCAACTCGCACGTGGACAAGCAGTCGAGCTCTAATTGGGGTGGGGGTGGAAAAAAACAATAGGAATTGTGACGACGGTCTGACTGTCGTTTGGTCGCCGTCAGAAATCTCGTCCACTTGAGGGAAATGGTGCCATGCTCCTCACGTCGGCATCCAAATGTCTATGTTACTCGCAATCGCATTTCCTCCGACGTAATTCGAACGTCGTTACCTTGTGGGGACGGGACGGACGAGGGCTCTGCTACTTAGGCTTCGCTTCGCTCAGCTGATGAAGTCTACTGGATACGCCACGACAGGCGCTGCAATAAGACGACTGTCCGGGCGCCCTAGTCCGGGTGCGGCAGGGCGCGGCGGGCCGGTCCGCGGGTGGGGTGGGGTGAGCCAGGACCCCGAATCAATTCAAGGGCGTTCCCGGGCGTGCCATGGCCTGGCCATGCTGGTCCCAGGTCGTTTAGGCCGTGACAGGTATTAGTCCCAGCAATCAAGGTTAGGTCCAGGCCTGGCCTGGCAGGGCGGGGCGGGGCAGGGCGGGGCCAAGAGAGTGCCACCGGCTGTGAGTGGCGGGGCGGGACAGGTGAGTCTCATTGGAGTCTCATTGGAGACTCCAATGGAGGCGAAAGAGAGAAAAAGGGTGGGATATATCGGGTCGGGGAGGGACAGGTCTGCCTGCGTCGAGACACCCAGGCAGGGAGCACCGCGGCGGCGCTCACCAGCTCGACAGTCTGGTTCCGCCGCTTGTTTTATAGTCCATGATATCGGCGCAGCTTGGCGGGGCGGGGCGGGGCGGGGCGTAGTGCGCGCGCGGCCCACCCGGCTGGGTCAGGACGCCATGTCAACACAACACGCCCCCCTCCCCCTGTAGTCTCCCTCAAACAGCAATATGCCGTTTATCAGAGGGCGGCCGGGACACCCTTCTACCGAATGAATAAAAAAAGGGGTGAAAGCGCTCGCGTCGTAAATTCAAGGCAATGCCGTCCTGGAGCTCTGTTATCACCCCCGCCCATTCAAACTGGAACAGTAGCAGAGCAGTCCATCGAGTCGACCACCTTCATATCGAGATGAAAACTCTTTAGGCGACGCGGGTACGAGAGTGCTTGTGCGTGTGTGAGTGTGTGTCTGTGTGCGTTCTGAGAGGGGGAGGCGCGGGGGGAGGTCACAAGAAGAGTGTCTCGGCCATGGTTACGGCTGTCCCTGTGCCAGCAGCGTAAAGCGCAGAGCTGGCGTGGTCATGCTGCTGCAGGCAGCACTTATCAACCATTTGGTCAGCACGGTTTTGCGTTGAATAATACGAGCCGCCCGGCCCGACCAGCGGCAGCTACATACTGGGCGTATTATTATTGTCCTCTTTATTTTACTTTTATTTTTTTACTGTCGGTCGCTTTTATGCGCAACAACAAGCGTCGTCATAATCATACACACATCTCTTTTTACTGCGAGCGGCATTTTTGTGTGACGGGAAAGATTTTTATACCCGTTTCCTCTTCTTGTTTATGTTGTTGTTGTTGTTATTGGTGATGTTGTTGTTTTGCTACTGCTGCTGCCGCCGCCGCGCGGTGCTTTACATCGGGGGTGCATACGGCGGAAGGCGCGCGGAGAAGCCTATTGGCTGGAGGACCCTTGTCGCTTCGGATTGCTGCCCTTTAGTTTGCTGCTCTAGTTGCTCCTCTGCCTCTGATTCCACGTTGGGTACAATATTTGCCTTTCTCTTATTTTTTTTTTATTTTTTTTGAGTGGTTTATTTTATCTTCTCTTTAACACGGCAGCAAATAAGCAAGGAGATGCGAATTACCGCACGGGGCATAAGGAGGATCAGCGCGGCAAGAATATAAAAGGTGGAGAAGGGGAGGGGGGCTCGCGGGTGCGGCGGGCTTTTCAAACCGCGCGGAGCAGGCGATGACCCCGCGCCAGAATGGGAGTCATTTTCAGGCGCGGTGGAGGGATAACGCTTATATTCCTCGTGCAAAAACAAAGAAGGGAAGATCTAATTATGCGATAGCGAGGAGAACGCGCGCGCGCGCGCGCTATTCAAAAGCAAATACAAACCTGGTGCAGGACGTCCACCGCGGCCGCCCTGCTCCCCCTTGTCCGCCGCACCTTCCCAAACACCGCGATATTAATTTATCTCGGCAAACTCGAGGCGCGCCGCGCGGACACCACCGGTGCGCGCGCCTCCGGCAGGAACGGGCGTCAAATGGGGCATTGCGGGGTATTTGAAAGCGAGAGTCTCAGATCAGGGAGAAAGCAACCGGCTAATCTGACGACATCAGCGGTCGGTATGCTATGAGAAAGTGGCAAGTGGAGGTGGTTCCCACTTTTGCTAACTCGAGAGTGAAGGCCAACGTGACAATAATTTATCAGACGACCTTAAACGTGCTTGGTTTGACCGACCGAAGCACAGTCCTTTCGGATACAGTGGGAACAAGGTCAACTTGAGTGACGCCTCAAATGAGACAGCTAGCAGTCTTAAGACCTCGTTGAAGATAAATTTGAAACCTACTCTGACTGGAATAGCATGCAACCCAACTTGAACAAGCTCTGTCTGTGGCAGATGTAGTCATTACTTGAATAAGAAATTGTTTTCATTGGGTTTTATTTGTTATTGTCTTTTTTTCGGAAGGGGTAAGAGGAGCGGATGCTGATGAAAAAGTTTTTTGGCGCCCGTTACACATGTCAGGGCCCCCTTGATACCATTCGGTTCGACAGCGTCGCTCCCCCTCTCTCCCGTCCTCTCCCTCGCTCCCTTGCTCGCTCCCGCCCTCGGCTCCCCTCTGGCTCCCCCTTCGGAGCAGCTCGCGCTCCGGCCGCGTCCGACTCGTCCTGGCAGACGGCCAGGTCCACCGCCACGCGGCGCCACCCCCTCCCAGCGGGGGCCGCGGGGGCACGGGGCTCGGGGCGGGGCGGGGCGCTCTGGCTGCTGAGTGTGCTGAGCAGTCCGCTCATCCACGCATGTATTGTTGCTACGGCGGTACAACAAAACAAAACAACGTTTATTTTATTTATTTTTATTGTGTCGCGGTTGGAGCGAGCCACCCTTGTGTTTTCATCCCTAAAATGCGAAACGACCAGAGCGTGTTTAAGGGTGGCGAGAATATGAAGAAAGGGGCAGAAAGGCCGGGAGGGAGGTAAAAGAGTCGGGGAAGCCGGGTGGGCAAAAGAGGAAGGTCCCACCCAATACGACACATTGTCATCCACATTATTTTTGGCTGAACGCCAACCTGGGCCCGCCCTTCAGCAAAGACAAACCCAGCTTAGCAGGCTGCCCGCCCTCACATACACAAGCTCTCTCTCTCCCTTTCTCACTCTCACACACACACACACACACATTCTCACATATAGGCAGACTCTGGTGGGCGCAGTCTACAAACACTGACCGATGGCCAACAAACGTCCCCATCCGGTTCCGATCCGCGTCCGCCCGCCCTCTCTAGTGATACGGTGTACTGACCAAACCTGGCCTGCCGGGGATTTGTCCCTGAGCAACTTGTTTGCTCTGTCAGCCCCCCTGCGGGGCCCGCCCCACCCCGCCCCGCCGCGGCCGGCCGCGTGCGGGTGTGTTTGCACAATGGGTATCACAAGGGACACAGTGTCAAACAGCAGCTCTTGGTCACCCGCATCTCCACAGTTGGTGAGGTGTCGGTTTCGATCAACATCGTCACTATGTCACATCGATCGTTGGTCCTTTTTTCAGGCAGGGGACACGTTTGTTGTCGAAATACCTTCCCGCAAAGCCTTATTAATTTTTACATTTTCTACGCTTTTGGTAGTGTATACGGAATTTGTGACAGCGTGCGGCGAATTGGCCTGCTCAACATATCGCCGCGTTTGAGCCCCCTGGTTTATTGATTTTATCGATGCCGCACTCCAAGCGGTACGCCCGCCACGATCGCATTGCCATGTTGTCCCTCACCCCCGCCTCCGAACCCGGCCCACGCGTCCCACCCCGGCCCGGGGGCTCCCCGTTTTTCACTCCGACATCAATGACACATTATTGGGGACAAACGCCTGACCGCGCCGCCGGCCCGGGCCATGTAGATATGGATGGATAGAAGTGAAATAAAAAAAGAAAGAGCGGGAGGGAAAAGGGAAGCGGGGGAGAGAAAGGCGAGGAGGCGGGGCGTTTCCCATTTCGCTTGAATACGTCTGAATATTAGGCCTCGTTTCCGATAACCCAACAGTTTGTATACCTTCCGCAGGGCTTTGCCGGGCCGGGCTCTGCCCGCTCGTCACACATCATACATGCAGCCCCCCTCCCTCTCTCTCCCTTTCCTGATCGTTCATTTTAGTCCGTCGCTTTTTCTTGGTTGCTTCCCGCCCAACAACTTTTATTCGGTTCTAATATCTGTCCCTCTTATTCCTAACACCTATTCGCCTCTAGTTTCCTGGCTATTCCTCTCGTTCTCTACCCCGTTCCCCAAATCCTCTCCATTTTCTATCTAGCTATTTCATGTTCCCCGGCCTATCTGCACCCCCTCAGCGGGCCCCCCAGGTACCCCCAGTTCTCCTCAGGTCTCTCCAGGTCCCTCCAGGTCCTTCCAGGTCCTTCCAGGTCCCTCCAGGTCCCTCCAAGTCCCCCCACGTCCCTCCCCCCACCCCTCTCTATCTCTCCCTCTCTCCAGGTACGGCGCGTGTTTGCTTGACAGAACCGCCGCGTGGCGCTGCGTCCCCAAAGGGCGGCAATCAGCGTGTCCGCAAACGAAGGTTCCCCACCACCACCAGTTCCCTCGCGACCACCCCCCACCCCTACCCCTCTTTGCCCCACCCCTATTTCCCAACCCCTCCTCTCCGCTATTCCAGCAGGAGGTACACAGAGGCTTAAAGGAAAGGGCGACTGCAGGAACCAGACTGGAAAACGCAAACGAAGCTCTCAAGTTTACCATCCAAATCATCTCCTTGGTCGAGAGTCGTTTTTTCAGCATGGAAGACTTTAAGCCCGGGGGTTCGTCCGGTCCCGGCTCACCTGAAGCAGTCCATCTCGTTGGTGTAGCCGTTGTCCGCGTACTGGTCCTCGATGAACGGCTCGCGGGACGAGTAGGGCGGCCGCCGCATGAGCAGGAAGCGGGGCATCACGTCCAGGAACACGCGCTGCACCCACGGCGACATGCGGTGCGTCGACGGCGACCTGGGCAGAGAGAATCCGTACAAGCCACAGGAACGGAGAGGAAAGTGTAACCCCTTCCTCCATATAAACGCATAGATGTCAACCGACCTGAAGTGCACGTTCAGCACGCACACGGTCACGAAGATGGAGAGCGTGACGAGGATCATGGTGAAGAGCAGGTACTTGCCGAGCAGCGGCACGGCGAGCGAGGTGGGCGGGATAATCTCGGCGAGCAGCAGGAAGAACACAGTGAGCGAGAGCAGGATGGAGATACACAGCGACACCTGCGATAAGTCGTGGAAAACGGGTCAGTGGGTTTGCTAGCGCGAGGCTCGACGGTGGCGGAGCAGAGATAGTGCTCGACTCGACGTGTACCTTTTCGCCAGACGCGGAGGGAAGGTAGAAGACGAGGACGGTAAGGAAGGTGATGCCCACGCAGGGCACGATCAGGTTGATGGTGTAGAACAGGGTCTTGCGCCGAAGCGTCAAGTTGAATGTGATGTCTGGAACATAGACCAAACAAAAAACCCGTTAATCAGCATTTTGAACAGCAGCCGCAACCCCTCTGTGGTGTGGTTCCGGGTCCCTGCGGATGATGAGGTACCTGAGAAAGGCACGCAGCAGGTGGTGTCGTTGTTGGCGCAGCAGGTCGACGGCTCGTACTCCTCGTTGCGGCGCGCGGGCGCGTCCAGGATGTCCCACTCCACCGACAGGTAGAACTCCTTGAGGTTGATGCCGTTGTGCACCAGGTTGCTGCCCGTGTCCTGATCGATGTGCTTCAGGTCAACCTGGGGATCAAGCAGAGATACGTACTGGTTAATCTTCACGACCACCAACAAACAGAACCGAAGATTGACAGAGTAGTTAGCCGAGTCGAGTCGTGATTTTTTTTTCACCTGGAATCCATTGTAGGTCCAGGACCCGAACTTCATGTCGCAGCTCTGCTCATCGAAAGGGAAATAGAGCACGTTTATCTTGCACGACGACTTGTAGATGGCGGGTGGCTTCCAGTACACCTCGCCGGTGTACTTGACGGTTGCCTTGGTCATGAGCGTCACCTCGTAGTTTCCGTCGGCGCTTTGGAGAAATGGAGAGAGAAGTGAGTGACAAGTGCATCGCGAGGAACCGTGATGTATTTGAAGCTAATCAGAAATACAGCAACCTACTTGTTGTACAGGACTATGTCGGGGAGCCAGATGTGTTCAGATGGCACGTACAGTTCTTCAACTCCTCCATAATGGTCTGGGTTCCACCGTAGTTTGTAATCGACCCATTTCTGTTTCAAGGATCAAATGTTTGATTATTGCACTTGAATATGTAAGTGATAACCTACTTGTATGAACGCTAAGTCCTTATACATTTGGTTGTGCAATAACATACTATATTTTAAACAGCCATGAGATTAAACAGAATTATATGCATAACTGTGTACAAAACGAGTATGGTTAAGTACAATTCAAACATGCATGAACAGTGTGCAAACTTATGGCTGCATAAAATTACGTATGTTGATTCACATCAAAATACAGAAGGGTTTTGTGGGTGCCAAACTATTCTATTGGCTTACCTGTTCGACCCAAAGGTTGGTTGTCATGACTTGATTTTTCATATTCTGTGGAGAAAAATCCGCGATTTCAATTCATCAACTATCATTTAGTCATCATATATTTACAAAAATAAACGTGCGAAAATTGTACTCACCACTTCGATGAGCTGCGATAGCCTAAGCCCTAGGTGGACGGTGAGGGTCTCGGTGTTGTTGACCACGGGCCTGATGAGTCTGTTGTAGTGGCTGAGCAGATCGTCGTAGAGTCGCTTGGCGTCGGGGTTGGCCTCAATCTGCTTCATGCCATCCACTGCAAAAGCGCGGGCAATCGTCAGAACAGAAGTGGTGACATAGCAAAATGTGGCCCACGGCAGAGGTTGGCAACACTTGTAGTGCTGCATAACCATGCACGCTCCAGTGCTGCACGGTCGGCCCACAGTTTGGGGAGTCATGTGGACAAGCCCCAGGAAGGGTTGGAGGCTTGTCTAGCAAATCCGTTTCAATCTAATCTATCCTCTAGGAGGCAAAACTCACCGCTCGGTGGTCGGGCGACGGAGAAGACGAAGGCTAGGAGCGCCAGCCTGGCGCATAATTTGAGTCTCCTCCTGAACGTCATCTTGCTCGCAGACGGAGACGGGGCCATGGCCACTGGGCTTCACATGGCGTCCAGCGCCCACCTCCCCCGCGAGTAGCGCCCCCAGCAACCCCGGGTACCTGCTCGTCAGGTGAATAGCCCGATGTAAACAAATGGCAGACGGCCAGGGCCAGGGCGGGTCGGGCGGGTGCAGCTGCTGCTGCTCGCGGAGGCTGCGCCTGGACCGCGAGGAAGGCGGTGGCGGGTCGATAGCGCCGCGCGCAGCGCTCCGGGCCGCAGCGGGGGGCACGCCAACTAGCGCGCGCCCTCGCCGCCGCCACCCCCCGAGAGAGGGCGCCTCTGTCATGGCGCGGGACAAGGGGCCGTGGAGAAAGAGTACACACACACAAGTCAGGTTGTTTTATTGCAGAAAACAAAACAAAAGGACCTCAGCCGAGCGCTTCCAGGATGCTAGGCCCGTTGGCCATGCCGTCGTGCCGCTGGCCGTTCTGTTCGTCAGCTCCGGCTGTTGACTCCTCGCTTGACGTCGACCCGAAGGGCAGGTCTACGCCGACCGTCTTCGCCATCGAGCCCACCGTGTCGGCGATGCCGCCGAGGGCGTCGCCGATGGTCTCGAGCACGTCTGGCGAGCGTCGCTTCTGCGAACAGAGAGACGATGGTGACGGTGCAGAGCGAGAAGCCGAAGCCGAGTGTGAAGCTCCCGCAGAAGCGGCGGGGCCGTGCGCGACGGGGAGCGCCTGCGAGGTAGGCACGCCCGCGGTGCAGCGGTGCGCGACGGGCCGGTATCTGGCAGGCGCCTTGGCCTCCTGCCACTCGGAGAGACGCGCTAGAGAAACGCGGTAAAACCGGGTAAAACCTACTTAGTAGGTATTGCAACCCCCCGCAAAGTAGCAAAATGTAAAGGTTGTTCAAATATTGGTTGGGGTTCATCCCCCCCTCCCCAAG